CCCTACTGTCACTAGCACATAAATACAACACAGGTAGTAGTAATCCCTTAGATGAATATCACAGAGACAATCATCTACATACAACTCCTACTGGTGGGCCAGCATTGTGGCCGTAGACCCACCTCTACTGGAAGGTGACTCACCTCAAAGTAGCGGCTGAACTGATCGCAAACTGACTGTCTACTGCTGCTGCGGACGCCCTCCGGCTATAATTCCACAAAACGATCAGTCAAACATAGCTAGATGTACTTAGGGTAAAATGACCCTTTTATCCTTGACCAAGTCGAAATCTAAGTCAAAGTCAACTTCCAGTTGACTGGACTCGCCGAGTCCGCAAGCAACTCGCCGAGTCCTTCCCTTACTAATCCGATCCTACTCGCCAAGTCCCTCTCCCCACTCACTAAGTCACCCTTGACTCACCACTTGGGACTATGGGGCCGACTCGAGTACCGACTCGCCGAGTCCGCGAGCAACTCGCCGAGTTCCTCGAGCGGATCCCCTACTCGCTTCCAATCCACACCAGAACACCCCGTACGAGTGTTTGGGGTTTGGGGACTTCGCTACACGGTTAATTCCGCGTGCGGTTACGAAGGGTTGACCCTTCAACGCTTAAACCCCTCTTGCTCTGCAAAGTTCATATGACTCGCCGAGTTTGAAGAACAACTCGGCGAGCTCCAGGCAATCTTCATAGGACTCGCCGAGTTGTTCATCCAACTCGCCGAGTCTAAGACCATCTTCATAGAACTCGCTGAGTTCCACTTTAGGACTCGCCGAGTTCCTCGACCCATTTCCTAAGTAGGCCGGATCTGAGACATGTAATGGTTCAAAACCCCATATCTAAGGTCCTAGGGCATGTTTACCACATAAAGTTGCAAACTTTACGTGCATGCACGACCCTATGAGCTCAAACATGCAATTCCAAGCTCTTTAAGAGGTCCTACACTCAATAAGGACCTCAATCACCTCAACCACAGAGACTTTATGCTACTAGGATGTCCTAAAGGTCCAAATCCGAAGTCCTTGCAGAACATTAATCATAAACACATAGAGATTTAGGTTCTTAGGGCTTAAAACCTCTTTTTAGGGACAAGAAGGGGGTTCAATGAACTAAAGATCAAGGTAGGAACTTTTCTACCTGAATAGAAGCCCTTCACAGAGAAGATTCCGGATCTTCTTCCCTTCTTGCACTCTTCAACCTTCACCTTCTTCTCCTAAGCTCCAAACCACCTTCACAATGCTAAAAATCACCCACAAGGACACAAAGGGGATAGGATTTCGTTCTACAGATCTCTGGGAGTGCTAGGGGAAATGGAGGCTGGGTTAGATCATTTAAATAGGGTGCAAACACTCGGGTTAGGGTTTCAGTCCAGACAGGGTCTACTCACCGAGTCCCACGAGCCTACTCGCCGAGAAGACAGAGTTGATCTCGTGTCTAGTCCTGCTCCTACTCGGTGAGTAAGCCCTTCAACTCGCTGAGTCCAAGATTAAAATGCAATACATAAGGAGAGTTAATAATCAAGAATATATACCAGGAACCAGGTGCTACACTTTTTTTTAAATATATATAGTTTACTTATTTTCATTTTTTAACTTTATTTTTCAACAATTTTTTTGAACCTTTTTACCTTTTGTTTTCTATTTTTTAGTGTATATATAGAGTATATTAGAGTTTTTTTTAGGTTTTTTCATATTTCTTTTGGTATTATAATTTATTTTTTTCATCTTTTTAGTTTTTAATTTTTTTTCTTATTTGTTTTCCAATTATTTGTTTATTTGTTTTTTTTTTTTTGTATTTTTATCTTTTTATTGACATTTTTCAAAAAATATAAAATGTATTAATATATTAGAGTATATTACAATTTTGATAATTTATAGTTTTTGTAATTGTTTTTTATTTTTATTCAAGTAAATAAAGTAGTTATGTTTATATTTGTAATTTCGATCCAACTTATTTTCTTTTTTTTATTTTTTTTTTCTTTTTGTTCTTTAGTGCTATTATATTTATGTTATGAAAAAATGAAAATTAAAAAGATAGTTTGTTTACTAAGAATTAGTGTTTCAATGTGTTATATAACTTGCAAATTAAATCATATTTCTATATGTGATATCAATAGATTAAATTCAAGATAATATTTTTCAATTTGATAATAGACTAAAAAAATAAAATAAAAAATAATAATAATCGATCTTTATAAAAAAAAAAAAAAAAAAAAAAAGAAAACATGTATAGTAATTTATATTAAATTCAAGTTCGTTTACTTGAATCAAAGTAAATAAAGCATTAGAAAACCATAAATAACTAAAGTAGGAAAAAAAAATAGAAAACAAAAATTGTAATATGAAAAAACCTTAGAAAATATTAGAAAAACCATAAATAACAAAAAATAGAAAAAAAAAAAAAGGTGAAAAAATTAAAATATAATACGAAAAGAAATATGACAAAACTAAAATATATATATATATATATATATATATAATATATATATATATAATATATATATATATATATATATATATATATATATATATATATATATATATATATATACACACTAAAAAATAGAAATCAAAAGGTAAAAAGGTTAAAAAAATTGTTGAAAAACAAAGTTAAAAACTGAAAATAAATAAAGTATATATATAAAAAGAAAATAAAAATGTACATATATTTATAAAAAAATCAAAAAAAAATAAAGTATACAAAAAACGAATAATAAAGTTAAAAAACCATGTGGTGTAATTTTTTTCAAACCTCAGGGACAAAATTTGAACTTTTTAGGACTAATTTTGCAAAAAAGTTGACCAACTTAACCATGAAACTCGTTAAGTGGACTAGAGTGATAATTCTGTGAGAAAGTTGTGGCCACAACAATAATAAAAAAAATATCAGGGCTTTTTCCAATTACGCGATAAAAATTTAGGGCTTTTATAATATTAACCCATATATATATATATATATATATATATATATATATATATATATATATATATATATATATATATATATAGGAGTAGGATAAAATGAGAACGCCTAAAAGGTTGAGAACGCGAGAACACATCTGGACTATCTAAATACTAAGATCTATGGTTACTATTAAATGGGGGATTTATGAAAAATTCTAAAAGTACTGGCATTTAAGTGTAACATTTGATTGGTCAGAAGGACATAATAGGAATTGCAATTTTACCTGATTCTTATAATTTCTCACCCTCACCTCTTACCTTTCTTATTCTCGTATCTATATCCTCTCACTCTCTAGGGTTTTATAAGATGCATCTACTGTGAATGCCATAGCCGACCTTCCCCTGGTCTAAACAACATCACTTGCAAGAGGATTCGGAGAAAGAGAAAGAGAGATTGAGAATGCAAAATGTCCGCTGATTTAGGTTGTAAGTGGCGAATAACACAGTAGGATTCAAAGAGATATTGAGAAGGGGAAGTAAATTTTCGTTTGTGTTCCCCCATTTTGCGCTGCTGATGACGACGATTAAGCCACAAGGGTCGCCGGAGAATCGTCGCCCTTCCTGTCGCCCTATTGCTGCCGTCGCTGGTGAGCCTTCACACTCTCTGCCCCTTTGACTTCCACCATCGCCAATTCCATCGAAGGCCAAGAGACCGCCTCGATTTCTCGTAAGCCCCAGGACTTGCAATCCCGATTCAGGGCTTGAAGAATGACTGCAAAAATCACGATTGGTAATCGCAATCCGGGGCATTTTTGGTACTTTTCTTTTTCTAAACATGTCTGGTCCTACTGTGTTATTCGCCACTATCAGTATCTCTTTGAATCCTACCAAGTCCGAACCCGAACACAGAGAGGTTGAACGTTGAAGATACAAGAGGGGTTTTTACTTTTTACGATTTGCTATGAATCGATTATCGAAGTAGAATGAGCGGCTCTGGAACTGTAGATTTCTTCTACAGAGAAGCTCAGCGACTTGGTTATGTTGCTCGCTCGGCCTTCAAGGTAATATACTAGTTAGGTTTCATTTTTTCACAATTTGAAGATTAAAACTGGTATATTATATTTATATTCGGATGAACTTTAATTTAACCAAAATATGATATGAATATCACCATTACTATTTCATTAGTTTTTGTTTAATTATGGTTGGAACTTGGAAGTGCAGCTACTCCAGATTCAGAAACAGTACAGATTGATAACACCTTGTTCCTCTGTTGTTGGCCTAGGTTGTGCTCCTGGTGCTTGGCTTCAGGTCTCCTTCTTTTGATCTTTCTGATGGCTTTATTGGTTGGTTGGATCAGAATTATATGGCGAAAGAGGGAAGAATTAATTGTATAAAGAGAGATCCATATGGGGATTTTTTGACTGAAGGGTATTTTGGGAAAATTGTTTTTTATTTTTATTCAAGTAAATAAAGTTGTTATGTTTATATTTGTAATTTCGGTCCAACTTATTTTCTTTTTTTTCTTTTTTTTTTTCTTTTTTTTTCTTTTTTTTTTCTTTAGTGCTATTATATTTATGTTACGAAAAAATGAAAATTAAAAAATAGTTTGTTTACTAAGAATTAGTGTTTCAATGTGTAGATTTCTTCTACAGAGAAGCTCAGCGACTTGGTTATGTTGCTCGCTCGGCCTTTAAGGTAATATACTAGTTAGGTTTCATTTTTTCACAATTTGAAGATTAAAACCGGTATATTATATTTATATTCGGATGAACTTTAATTTATCCAAAATATGATATGAGTATCACCATTACTATTTCATTAGTTTTTGTTTAATTATGGATGGAACTTGGAAGTGCAGCTACTCTAGATTCAGAAACAGTACAAAATGATAACACCTCGCTCCTCTATTGTTGACCTAGGTTGTGCTCATGGTGCTTGGCTTCAGGTCTCCTTCTTTTGATCTTTCTGATGGCTTTATTGGTTGGTTGGATCAAAATTATATGGCGAAAGAAGGAAGAATTAATTGTATAAAGAGAGATCGATATGGGGATTTTTTGACTGAAGGGTATTTCGGGAATAAGGTTAAGTGTGAATGTTTGTAGTTATGAATTTATTCATGTGTATTCATTTATGAATAATGTTGTAGTTATGAATTTATGATCATTCTACTATGAATTTATGAATTTATGAATAACGTTGTAGTTATGAATTTATGGTCATTCTAGTTGGAAGCAGGGGCTTTGTGGTCATTCTACTATGAATTTATTCATGTGTGTTCATTTATGAATAACGTTGTAGTTATGTGTGAATGGTTGTATTCATTTATAAATAGCACGTGTATTCATTTATGATAGAATGTGTATTAATTTATAAATAACAGTGTATTCATTTGTGAATTGCAATGTATTCGTGTGTGAATGATTGTATTTATTTATGAATAGTAGTGTATTCATGTGAATGAGTGTATTTATTTATGATTAGAGGTATCCATTTTATGAAAAAATGATAATTTCTATATTATTTTTTATTTTCAATTTATGAAAAATGCATTGAATTATTTGTAATTTGATGTGTTTTCATTTATGATTGGAAGTGTATTGAGTTGGAATTGGATTTCTATTCATTTTTTTTTTTGAAAAACAAAAACGTGAAATAGTAGAAAATAATATTTTTTTTTTTAAGATTTTCAATTCAGATTTAAAATAAAAGGAAATATTAATATTTTTGATAATTTATTTTTTGAAATGGTCATAAATAATTTTTTGAAAACATCAGAAAAAAAAATTTATATATATTTCATTAACTAAAAGGAAATATTAATTTTGTTAGGTAATTAAAATCATTATCCCTAGATTTTAGGAAATCATTAATTAATATTTATATAAAGTTACTAATATACCCTTATAAAATGATTGGTCCAGAACTATTCTCGCGTTCTCAACCTTTTAGCCGTTTTCATATATATATATATATATATATATATATATATATATATATATATATATATATATTTTAAGCTAACGATTATAATAGTTTAAAAAACACATATATATTTACATCCAAATGTTTTGTAGCAAAATAAATATTTGGATGACATTGATTTTCATTTTCAACTTTTTTTTTTTTCAATTTAACATTGTGTCACTCACTCTCTCTCTTTCTCTCTCTCTATATATATATATATATATATGTGTGTGTGGTGATTAGCCCTTTAACGAAAACTCAAAAATAGTTTTTGAATACTAAGCAGTCCATTCTCATCCCTACCTCGTGGTACGCACGATGTATGAGACACGTGTCTCGTTATTACTAAAATGTTTTTCAAAAAGAGCAAAAGGTGTAGGGTCGGTGAAAACTATGACGAGTCAGCATCACCCTTCCATTGAGTACCTTCTCCATCTTATGAACTGCACAAATAGTATGCCACGCGTCCAACCATCCCCATACACAACTCACCATCACCTTATTTTTGGCTCTATAAATTATAACCCCTTCTAAAAGTTTCTTGAACAAATACTTTTCCCCATACACAACTCACCATCACCTTATTGTTAGCTTTTTAAATTATAACCTCTTCTAAAAGTTTCTTGAACAAATACTTTTAATTTGCCTGTCAAAGCATCCAATTTTGATAAACACATAAATTATATTTTGAGAAAATAAATTAAATATACCATAACTTAACTGTATGACCTATGGATTTAGTTGGTTCCTTGCGATTTTTGTAGCTACGACAAGACTCCGGTCATTGTTCGCATCAGCCACCAAACCACCACCGGTTTCATCGAGATTACCGGAACCACCATCATCTTCAACACCCATTTTTCTGCCACCATCGAGCCTTGTTCCAGCCTCCTTAGAATAACCATAAGACCGGAGGGTGTGAGAGGGATGTTTCCCTCGTTTTTTGTGGGTGATACCACTCTTTCGCTTACTTTTTTTTCCCTCACCTAAAACCGAAGAAATGGGTGGGAAGCTTCTCTCTCTCTATTTTTTTTTATATTTTAAAAAAAATATATATTGCATACTTATATTATACTCATTTTGTAGGAAATTAAAAACAATGAATTTTAATATATTTTTTATAATTTTATATATATATAATTTTATAAATATATATATATATATATATATATATATATATTATATATATATATATATATATATATATAAAACTATCCATTAGCATGAAAAGAGAGAGAGAGAGAGAGTACGACACTCCCTCCCCCGACCTCTTTTCCGCGGGATGTTTTTCTCACCTAAGGAGTGGTGTTCAAGAGTGAGGGAAACTTTCCTCACTCCCTTTCCCGCTTCCACTCCGTGCAGCCTAACACCGTCATTTTATCTTATGTTTTTACAAAAGCTTTAAAATTTGCTTGCAAACAAACGTAATCATTTTATGGAAATAATATTTATCGTTTATTCGAAATTTTCTTAGAATAAATATCTGTTTATGTGAGAAAATAAATCTAATATAATAGTTCAAGATACTTGATATTATAATCTGATTCCAAAACGTAGTGGGGTAGCTCGCAATTTTTATATGTGGGTACACGCATTATTAATAAATATTATATGTAGTTAATATATTCGAGGAATTAAAAAACATGATTTAATCTTTTTAGTTTTTTTTTGAATATTATATTACCTCTAACGTCTCACATAGCTCCGTTACTGTTGAAACTTAATATAAATTTTAATTATTGATTCTTATAATATCACTGTCTGCTAAAACCTGTATAAATTGATAAAACTTGTTGCTCAAAATCATAGTATAATCGGTTTCTTGTAATCATTTTCAATAAGAAGACGGTTAAATCTAAAAGTCAAATATTAATATATTACTAAAAACTATTTCTATTTTGGTCGAAAATGCATGGATGGAATATTTGGGTAATTTAAAAAAAGAAAAAAAAAATAGTACTCCAAGCAAAATTAACATCTAAGAATCAATTATTATATTAATTATAAAAAATATATATCTTAGTATCCATATATAACGAAGCTACATGTATCTATACGGAGTGTATATGAAGATCATTTACGTGAAGGCGTGCCACGTCATCCAAAAATTCAAGTCCCTAGCTTCTTACAAGATATAAAATAAGAGAGAGAGAGAGGGAGGTTGGGCTGGGATTTGTAGGAAAATCATGCATCATTTGGGTGTGTCAAGCCACCTAACGTGTGATTTGTGAAAAATGGGAAGACTCCGTGTATCCTAGACTTTTTTTTTTTTTTTTTTTTTTTTTTTTTTTTTTTTTTTTTTTTAATGATATGTTTCTAGATTTTTTTAATAAATATTCAATCCAGGAGTATATAATTTTTTTAGTTTTTTAAGAGTATAATACACGAAATGGTCCCGATGGTTTGAGATAATTTTCATGTTTGGTCCATAACTTACTTTTTTAATTCCGAAGGTCCATACTATTTGTTTTTGTTACGTGTTTGGTCCCTAATATATGTTTTTGTTACGCTCTTGGTCTTTGTCTTACCTGAAAAAACTATTATTTAAATAGAAAAAATAGTATGGTAACCAATGTAAAGCTAGATGTGTGTGGTTGGGGAGTGTTTATTTAAATAAATTAAAAAATAAAAGGAAAAATAATATTTTTAGAAAAGACAGAGACCAAACGCGTAACAAAAATAAATAGTAGGAACCTTCCAAGTTAAAAAAATAAATTAGGGACTAAACATGCAAATTACCTTAAACCATAGGGATCATTTGTGTAATTTACTTTTTATTAATCATTTGATATAGATTATAGACAAAATTACAAAAATGGTCCCTGTGGTTTGTGAAAAGTAACAAACTTAGTCCCTATCTATTTTTTTTTGATGTATTTGGCCATTGTGGTTTGTAAAAGTTGCATTGGAGGTCCTTTTTCTTAATACCGTCAATTTCAGCCGTTTGGGGTCATTAAGTTGGGGGGTATATTCGTCTTTTTACATTTGGCGCTCATTAAAGATGGATTAGGCAACGATACGTCATTAATTTATCCTCATTAAGCAGATCCAAGAAACCCCATTCTTCTCCTCTTCACCTTAGCCTATTGATCATCTTGACGATCTTCATCCTTCATCCATCCCATCCGATTTTAGGTTTTATCAACTGAAAATGGTACTTTGTATGTGGAATTTACGTGGTCCTCATACGATTGCACCCGACCTTGATAAAGATTACAGCAATATGGGAACATATTCAAAATGGTGAAAAAGCCCAACAACCTGAATATTGGGTGCATCCTTGTTATAAGCTAGAAACATGGAGGGCAATGTACTGTAACAAAATAGATCCAATCAATGGCAGGAGCATGTGGCCAAAATCTAGATGTCCAACCACTCTTATACCACCTACACATCACACACAAGTAAGTTGAATGTTAGTTAACATAGTTTATTATTCATCCAGTTTTAACATTTCCTTAATATTTTTGTAGCTTGGAAGGCCAAAGAAAAAGAAGAGGAGGGTTATAGATGAGGCTAGTAGCCAATCAAAAAACCTATCTAGGAAATTCTTGATTGTTACTTGTTCCAAGTGTCATAACAAAGGACATAACTCTAGAACATGTAAGGGGCAAGGGGGGTCAAGTCAGAGAGTAGTGGGTGGATCAAGTCAAGGTGGTGTGGGTGGATCAAGTAAAGATGCATTTAGTGGAACAAGTCAAGGTTCAGTGGGTGGATCAAGTGAAGATTTCATGGGTGGGTTAAGAGCAAAGAAGATAGACAAGGGAAAAAAAGCCTCAAGTAGGACCTAAGTGAAGTTGGATACAAATGAAAGCATGACTAATCAAGTTATTTGGCTACCTTTTGTTTAAGATTATAAACTTGTGTTGATGCTTTGGTTAAAACATGTTTAATCTAGATAATTACATCTTTTTGCAACTACCTAAATTAGTGATGTAATTAAGTTGATACTAGCTATATGTCATGCTACATTTCTGGTTATAATGATCTCAATTATCATGTTTTGATATGGTGTGTTTCTCATTCCATTCCATTCTTTAATAATGACCAAAACTCATTCCATTCCATTGTTTGATAATGTCCAAAACTCATTCCATTCCATTGTTTGATAAATGACCAAAACACATTCCATTCCATAGTTTACTTATAGGGTTTTGATTTTGTATTTTTCTCATTCCATTCCAATCTTTGATAAATTGACACAACTCATTCCATTCCAATCTTTGATAAATGGACACAACTCTTTCCATTCCATTCCAAGATTCCTAATCAATAATAAAAAAACAATGCTTTATAATTAACATAAGACAAAATGCCATTAAACTGATTAACTAAAACCATACATTACATTAACATTCTAATACATGACATCCCATCCCAAAATCAACTGGTAATATCCCATTCCAGTTCTACACACCATCCGACATTACATATCCAAAATACACTGACCAAATACATCCCCAAATCCAACTACTACTTAGTGCATACGTATATAAACGAAAAAAAAAGAACCAAGACAGAATAAGCATCCACTTGAGCTTCACAACATCTGCACGAGCTTGAATCAACATCATTTGAACATTGTTCATTCTCCTCAGCAAGCCAGGAATCACCTCCACAACTTTATGGCACATCAGATCATCCACCCACCCAAGAAATGGACAGCTTCGACCATTTCGAGCACAAGACCAGAATCGCCTTCCTGGGTTGAGGTCCGTCCAAGATGTGATTCTCACAACAACACTTCCACACGTACAAATCACCATTCTTTCAAGAGAGGAGAGCTTCGATCTTTCAGAGATGCTAGCTTGATTTTTGTGAGCGTTGGTTAGGGCTTATTAAAGGGGGTGGAGAAGCAAATGTAAAAAGACGAATATACCCCTAACTTAATGACCCCAAACGGCTAAAATTGACAGTGTTATGAAAAAGGACCTCCAATGCAACTTTTACAAACCACAATGGCCAAATGCACAAAAAAAATAGATAGGGACTAAGTTTGTTACTTTTGATAAAACACAGGGACCATTTTTGTAATTTTGTCTAGATTAAATGTTTAATATTTTTTATATTTTATCTTTATCATTTAATCATATTTCATAATTATATTTTAGTATTAATTTTTTATTTTCTTACTAGTTAATTATTTCTAACAAATGTTTAATTGTATTTTATTTATAAAATAACACTTATAACGATTATATAAAATTTCTAATTTTTTTATAACATTGAGATTAATTTTTTTCTTCTTATTTTATGTCTATAAGAAAAAAAATATGTTCAATTTTATATATATATATATATATATATATATATATATATATATATAATATTGTAGCATTCAAAGTTTATTAAATATGGTGAATATTTAAAAATTGACAAATTAAATATGGGATGTTTTATAAAACATTTTAAATAGATAAACATAGATTGGTTAAAATTTTACAAAAATAAAATAAAAAACTATTTAACAGGTTAACCATTACGAAATGTCATTTAATAGATGTTAAAATTAATGGAATGATAATGTAACAATGATTTTAAATCATACAATGATCCTTCAAAACAATGATTTTAAATCATTCATTAGAATTATCATTTAAGATACCTTAAATAAATAAATTTGATATTGCAATATTTCCTTATTTACATATATATTTTGGCCAATCTCTTAATAAAATAATCTATGATTTGATATATTTAAAGATTAATGATATTGATAATATTTTGAATTAGATAAATACAAAATAATAATAATAATAATAATAATAATAATAATAATCAACATTGAGTAGTATAAGGAGAGGGTTGGAACTAAATAGAGATGATAAATTCCAAAGTTGCCAAATTTGCCTAAGGCGCGCCGCGATTTAGTAGTAGATGTCTTGCGACCAAGCCCTAAACTTATACAATAACATAAAACGCGACGATATGCGACACAAAAATGATGCGGTCCCATACAAATCTAAGTATTTTCAATCTCCTATAAATAGATGTCCTCTTTATAATGATTTTAAATACCAATTTGGAAGACAAGTTATATTACGATATTAAAAGACAGAAAGGGAATTCAAAGCTGAGGAACACACTTAAATCAAGTGTTTGAAGATCAACGCTTAGAATAATTATAAACTTCAATTTATTTTGTTTTAGACTATCTCCAATCCATCTCCATTTCCCTCCAAAAAATGGAGTAAAAAATGGGAGCAAATAGTATGTCAATTCCAACCCTACTTCATTTTTACCCCTAAAAAATATTTTCCTAGTATATTCCATTATTCCAACTTACATAGATTGTCAAACACACCTTTCTATTAATTTAGTTTTAACAAATATATAATCTATATTTTTTTGATTACATTAATATTAAATACAAACGATTATATTTATAATAAACTTATAACTAAATATTATACATGCATTTATAAAAATATTAGATATACACACTTTTAAATAAATAAATAATAGTATTATCAATTGTTGGTTTTTATTAGATTATTATTGTAATATATAGGTTAACTACAAGTTTAATAGCATATATTATCGTGTTTGTAATATATATTTTAATTATAAATTTTTATAAAATACGTTATCGTTTTTTAAAATTTCAATATGTATTTAAATTTTTATATGAATTTGATGAACAAAAAACAAACTTTAGATTTATAATTAATTAATATAATTTAATATATAACAAAATATTATAAGTATTAAATATTATATTTAATTTATAATTAGTAGGTAAAAATGAATTAGAAATTTAAAAATATATAACAGAGGGATTAAAACCGACAATACAAAATTCACCCCTATTTTAAGATAAATGAATACTATAACACCATATTTGATGTAATACTATTCATATCCCCAAAATAGGGAAATAAATGAAAAAGGGTTGGAGAAGAATAAGGAAAGAAATGGAGAAAAAAATAAAAAATAAGAGTGGGTTGAAGATGCTCTTACTATCTTTTGCAAAAACTTTGATGTCTTTTTGTATTCTAACCATAATTATGGGTTACAACCCTTTACTTCCATTTTTAATGTAAATGAACCCCTTGATTCTATGGTTTGATAAATGATATTGGATTTTAATTAATTTCTTATTTATTATGTGTGTTTGATTATAAATCATTAATATTAAAGTTTTGATATTTATAGCTTATAATTGAGTTTAACATAGTTTAGAGCATCAATATGATTTTATTAACTTGTATTTTATTCAATTTATAACAGTAAATTGTTCGGACTAATGATCGACCAAATCTTAAGATAAAGAAACTAAATTGAGAACTAAAACATAAAAGATTGCATTAGATGACCATTATGTGCATAGATTGGTTTTCATGACTATTGAAGACTACTTAGTAGATCAAATCTTTTATAGTACGATTATTTAATTAATTATTTAGATAGTTAATCAAATAAACATTGTGTTAATTGTTTATAATTATTAGCATGGTTTAATCGAAAAAAACATAGGAAATTAATACAGAAATCGGTAACTGAAGACATAAATCAATTAAACTTCTTATTGGTCAATGACAGAAAATGGAGGGGAGGGGGGTTGGGGGGGGGGGGTGTTACTTGTTTGATACCCGATCTTAACTCAACAATACTACTAGATGATAATTTATATTGTCTATGTTGGAGAGAGTGTCCAAGGTTATTAACTATTGATAATTTTACTAAATAATAACAATGTTCTTTTGTGTTGGCTTCATGATATAAGTAGCAATGAGAAAATGGAGAAAATTAAGATATTAATTTATTATTAGTTAATAAAGAAATTTGAAATTATTTTATTAATTAATTTAATTGTTTTAATTAATTAAAAGATTAGAATATTAATTTATTGGAATATTGATTCCAATATTCTAGAAGCCTCTTGGAAATATGGTAAGGATGAAATCTAGGAGATTTTCTAGGCAAATGCAGGTTCTGATAACGATAACGATTATTCTTATGTAACACCCTATTTGGAGTCGTTTCATAAATTCAGGGTTGTAACCTAAAGATCAAGTATTATAAGGCTTCGGGCTTTGGGAAAGAGAGGTTTAGACACATTTGGATGTGGTTAATGAAGATTATGTGATCAAAGAGTTTGGTTTGTTCTTTGGAGTCAAAGGGTAAAATTGGAAAAGTGGTGTTTTAAACTTATTTTCTGAATTAAGGATTTTAGTTCGATATATTTTAAGTCAAACGTAATTACATAGGGTTGTAGGCTCCTCAATACCTTTTCATGTATATAAAAATCGTTGAGAACGGATTTGCAACGAAGAAGTTATGATTGTTAGAAGTTAGGAAGGTTTTGGACACAGTCTAGTATGCTAGGAATACAAGAAGTAGGCTCGGCATACTAGGGCATCCCTGGTACGATCAGTGTATTAGGAGTATGTTGGGTGTACGAGATTAGTGCCCAAACCGTATTGTTGTGGTTTGAGCCCTATTTAACCTCCTTAACTTCCCCAAACCCATTCTATACTCAGCCTCCACCTCTCTATCACCCTCCCTTGAAAACCCTAATCCTAGTTTGATCTTTTTGAATAAAAAAAGGTGTGATTAAGTTGTTTGGAGAGTTCTTGGTGAATCTTTGAGAAGAAGGAGCTCTTTGGAGAATTGTTGGTTGCATTGGAGGTTGTAGATCTATAATTTGTTCATGTTGAACTTTCTTCGAGAGGTATAAAGTTTGAATCTTTATGATGCATTTGATAGATCTAGCTAGTCTTGGGTGTTATGAGCTTTTGGTTACTTTAGTGCATAAAGTTTAGCTCGTGAAAGTTTGTGACCTTGTTATGGATAAAGTTGGAAACTTTATCCATTTAAACATTATATTGATTAAATATATAAAGGCTTGAGACTTAAACTTGATGAATTA